TGTGTGTGTGTGTGTCTGTGTGTGTGTGTGTCCGTCAATACCGCTCATGAAACCCAGAGTACAGGTTATCTGGATCAAGCTTCGATAACCGCTGCATCATTTTGATGATATTTGCAACTTCACGCACGTCCACAACAATCCTTGTATTCCCCTTCCCTCCCTGCTCTATCCTGTTTTTGAGAAGCTCACCTCACATGCCTGCATTGCAATTGGAACCACTGTTAAAACAGAGACGAAAAAAAGGAAAGAAAGAAGAAAAAAAAATCCTTAATCAAGAGCTCAAACAGTAATGTTGATTTCCCTTACACAAGAGAAACCAGTATACCAAAGGGCATACACTCACACTAAGAATGTGATGAAGGTGTCTGACCGTCCATACAGCCGGATGCTGTTGAAAAAAATGCACAGTGCAAGGGTGTCCTACCCCACTCTTCTTCATGACCACACCATAAAGCTGGCTGGCATACGAGAGCGACGACAGCAGATGTCAACAAGCTGTTTGTGCAGTGAGACACCGAGCTGTCGTTCATCACCCACCACAGTGCAGCTTCTTCAGCGACCACGCCGACAAGCCATTTGTCCGCAGAGGTTAATGTAAAAACAAGACGGGTCAAAAAATATTTATAAAAAAAAAAAACAAGACGGGTCAGCGCGGCTCCGCCCACGTGAGGAAGGGGTATTGATGGAATTCAAATTAGTGTGTATGAAACCTCAAATAGCGTGTGAATACAGGAACCAAAAAAATGGCTCATACGTAGGCCGACCTCCGTTCTATGGTAAAGCCCGACATAAAAGAGTGCATTTCCACTTTTTTTTTTTTTGTCCGGTGGATGTAAACCCTGCATTTTTTTCTCAAGATCTCGATAGAGGTGCAGGTTCGCAAGATAGAGAGGTAGAGGGAGAGCGAGAGGTAGAGGTAGAGAGAGAGAGAGAGAGAGATGCATTTCACCTAACACTCTTCCTCCTCCACACCCTCCTCAACCTCTCCCTTCCCCTTCACGCTATTCCTTTCCCGCACCTTAGCCTTTGTCTGTCTCCTCCCCCACCCAAGGTTCATCTGCCGGTTCCTTCTTTTTTTTTTTCTTTTTTTTTTTTTGACTCCTCAACATTGTCCTCTTAGTCTTTGGGAGCGGCCTTAAGATTGATCACCAAACTGACCCGCGGAAGATATTTGAAGCCACGGATATTTGTTTCCATAGTTCAGGCTCTTCCTCCCCCATCCCCTCCGCCGGCCACACCGCATGTCCTCTCTCTCTCTCTCTCTCTCTCTCTCTCTCTCTCTCTCTCTCTCTCTCTCTCTCTCTCTCTCCATTAACTGGTCCGCGGTCATCCCCTCCC